GGCTGCTACTACATCAGTCCTGGTTTTTGCCAAGTTGAGAATGCGCCACCTGTAACTCTGGTTTATCCGCAATTTCAATCCAGAGCGAGACACACACGCAACCCACCTATTCCCGCCTGTCAAAGCACAGGACTCTTTACTTTGGTGGACCGTCCCCTCCAACCTTTTCCAGGGAGCACCCTTCCATCTGCCATCACCCCAAATTACCCTTACAGATGCCTCCCTCTCCGGCTGGGGCGCCCACATGATGGGTCTTTGTGTTGGAGGCAGATGGGACACACAAAAACGGAATCGGCACATCAATTTTCTGGAACTGCTTGCGATACAGTTTGCTGTCACCAGTTTCCTGCCCCTGATCAAGGGGAAGTGTGTCACGTTCCTCATGGACAATACTACTGCCCTCAGCTATGTGAACAAGCAAGGGGGCACTGTCTCCCAATGCCTCTGCAATCTTGCCCTTCGGTTATGGGACTTCTGCATCACCCACAACATCTTCATAGTCGCCATGCACCTCCCAGGGCACATGAATGTGCAGGCAGACCACCTGAGTCAGGCAGGACTCAGTCTGCATGAGTGGGAAATGAATCCAACTTACCTTCTTCCACTCTTCTGCGAGTGGGGGTTCCCCCAGATAGATATTTTTGCCACCAGGGCGAACAAAAAGTGTCCTCTGTTCTGCAGCCGAGGTGGCAGGGACCCACAATCTCTAGGGGATGGTCTCTTCCACCCGTGGTTCAGAGGATTTCTCTACCTCTTCCCTCCACTGCCTCTGCTTCTGAGAGTGGTCCGCAAAATCATCAGCAGCAGAGCGGACTGCGTCCTCATAACCCTGTGGTGGCCGAGGCAACCATGGTTCTCAACCATCCTCGATCTGTCAGCGGGGGTCTACCACCAATTTCCTCCATCACAAGACCTCCTGTTCCTAACCGAGTCCCCTCTCCTATAACACGACGTGCCACGAATGAAGTTGACAGCTTGGAGAGTGGTGTCAACAGCTTTTCCTCCCGCATAGCACATGTCTTTCAGGGCTTTATGGCCGTGGTCTTGGCATTGTAGTACCAGACGTTTCACCAGCAGCTATGACTGGCATCCTCAGAGGTATAACACAGAAAGATGGCGTACTCTCTGTGTCAAGGTGAGGAGAAAAATGGTAGGCGGGTAATTTATATTTACTCAGGAAGGTGGGGTAGGGCTGAGTCATTATCTTGTAAGAGTTTCCCAGGCTGTGACATGCCAATGGAGGAGCTTTCCTGAGGAGGTTCTTTTGCATATGGGTTGGCTGTCGAAATTCTAATCTTATCTGTAGTGCTGTTGTAAGATGTAGAGCATTTTGTGTTTTTCAGGACTGGAAACCATGCCCTATTTATTTTTAAACTCTCTTCTTTTTTGTTGAAATTGTGTTTATGCTTATGAATTTCAATGGCTTCCCTGTGTAATCTGACATGGTAATTGGATGTGTTGTCCAGAATTTCAGTGTCTTGGAATGAATAGATCGGGGAGGGGGGACAGTTGTGGCTGCTTCCCTAGTCTTGTCCTGAGGGGACCCTCTGCAGTGGTTTCCTGGGTTCCTTGGGGAGCTGCTGTAAGAAGGAGAAGCCAGTAAATATAATTTGTGATTGCATGCATCAGTTTCTGCTCTCTGAGAAGACAGATACTATGGGCTTTTCTGGGAGCTTATTGTATTTCATGTGTAGAAAGAGTTGCAGATGGAATAGGGTGACCTCATGGCATCCATGTTGCTTGGTGCTTTCTGTGCATGATTAATGTGCGGATATCATGGGAACACTGTGGGAATGTCTGTCAGTGTTGCCACCTTGTCTCTTGTTTCTACAACTATTCTTGTGATTTCTGTTTTTGGGGTCTCAGAGAATCACTTTATGTTTTTTTTAAAAAAACATTTTTATTAGTAGGATATTATAACAAATTCAACATTAAATCAATATTTTCAACCCATATCCCTTTCTTTGACCCCCATCCCCTCTTCTGGCTTGCCGCAGTGGTCCCACCCACTCCCCTTTTTTCTGCTCTTCTAATTTTTACGTCTTTACACATTAACAATTAAAATTAATTGGTAACCATTTCTTACACATATTTCTTATCTCTATCCAATATATCGGAGTACATCAATTATTTTTTAATAATTATCAAAACAAAATAGATTATTTTTCACATCCCAATCTTTCTCCAGATATTCTTTAAAGTCTATCCAGTCCGCCATAAACTCCTCTGGATCTTTATTGTTCAATTTCCTTGTCAATTTGTCCATTCCCACTATAAAAAGTAGTTTTCTAATCCATTCCCAAATTTCAGGCACTTTTTCTTGTTTCCAGGATTGAGCAAAAGTCATTCTGGCTGCTGTTATCAAATACCACATCAGAGTTCTCTTAGTCATATTCACCTCTTCCATTTTAAGTCCCAACAGTAGTACTTCTGGCTCTTTCTTAAAAGTACACTTTAAAAATTTTTGCATCTCACTATGTATATCTGTCCAATATTTATTTGCTTTATCACAAGTCCACCACATATGATAGAATTAACCCTCTTGTTTCTTACATTTCCAACATTTGTTAGACATATTATCATTCATGATAGCAATCTTTTTCAGAGTCATATACCACCTATACATCATTTTGTAACAATTTTCTTTTACATTATTACAAGTTGATATTTTCAACTAATTTTTCCATAAATGTTCCCATGATGACATAGATTTCTTTATTGATATTAATCACCCATTTTAACATTTGTTCTTTAACTGTTTCATCCTCAGTATACCACTTTAATAGTACAGTATATATTTTGGATATCAACTTATTTTCGCTTTCTAACCACAAACGTTCAATTTCATTAAAGTCTTTTCTAAACCCAAATTGCTTCTTATCTGTCTTATACAAATCATATATCTGTCTATACTGTAATCAATCATATTCAAAGTCTAGTTCATCCCTTTTCTTTATCTCAAAGGTTTATCATGCCACTGTTTAGTCTTGGTGTAGTTTCCACTAGCATAGTAGGAACAGAAGATTGGCCTGTCTACTGGTCCTTAATAACCAAGCTTTGAGTACAGATCTGGCTTAATAAATTTCATTCAGGTTGAATGAAGACAGATCAGATTTCTTTCACATGTGGTGGTCTTGTATGCGCCCCTCCAACTTCTGGAAACAAGTGGCGAAATCACTATCAATAGGGCTGGGTATACAAATCCCTTATAAGCCAGAGACATGATTGCTGAATTATCTTACTGATGTTTCCAGAGATCAGCTTTGCATATGATTACTACTGATAGTTGGGTCTTTGCCAGGTATTGGAAACAAAATAATACCCATGAACTACAAGAACGGTTACTGATAGTAAAGAAAATCTATACTTTGGTGAAATTAACCAGAGTAATAGAGATGTACAAGGGGGGACCCGCGATACTCGCGGGGGGGG